GTCCGAGAAAGTGGCGCGCCGCCGAACTCTGCAAGGTGTACCCCAAACACAAACCGTTCACCAAAGCTTGATTTGCCAGGCCCTTAACTCGATCACCTGCCGCAGGATTCGGAAGAGCTCTTAAAATGAAGCCAAGAGCTATCCAAGACAAGGACCTCTTTGAAGTCAGGCGTGAATTTGCAAGTGGCTTTGAGCCGAGATTGTGTACATCAGGAGCCCTCATCAACATGTAACATGGTATTTGCAGAGACCTTCAGCGTGTCTTGCCGCAAGGTCATGTGACTCCAGAGGATCGGTGCCAGCAGAAATCCACGATTCTGTAAGGCACCGACAGAGTAATTCTAGCAAAAGCCCTCGGTTCTGGAGCCCCTGCAACTTTGTCTTCGGGCATCAATGATTCAAGCTTAAGGCGAATCCTTCCCCAAAGTCTGCATGTCTGCGCAAGGACGCACCCCACATGTTGCAGGATGGAGCACAAAGCGGCGGTCCGTGTTTGTCCACAGCTCCGCGTGAGTCCCATGCTCCGAGCTGTTTGCTACACGACCTATAGGATATCACTGCCCATCGGCTCGGGAACTATACAGTGAGCCATCGAGCTTCAGCAAAGGCTCCCTGGAACCTTCTGCAGGGTTCGTCAAAACAGAATATTGCAGCAGGCGTTCTTCGCCAAGTACTCTTCAAACAGTGGCATTGAAATACCGGCAGCGCCGCGCAATCGGTCGGATGGGTTCGGGAACAAGCCGATGCTGTATGCTAGGAACCTAAATGAAAGGAGGTTTGGTTCCGAGATATCGATGTATGCCCATTGGCGGATGCCTTGCACCACAAAGTGTTCCAAAATTGCTCGATGCCGGTTTCTGAGCGGCTATGGTGGGCCTTGTTTGACGTATCATGATAGTGCCTCTTGCACCCAGAGCGGCTTTCAATTCAACAAGCCCAAACTCCGGCCCACGAATCACCGCCCAGCCACGGCTCACCAAATTAAACACAAAAAGGGCTCAAGGAGTTAATTCTGCACGATAGAAGGACTTCGATTGTCGCTGGGGTTGATGTCAGGGGGGGTTCGCTGTCAAGGTCTCGGCTTCATCGGTGTGCTCATTCATGAGGTCGTTCCTCCGTGGATGTTGCAACAAAACACAAAACACTGGCTGTTGGTGCTGCCAATCAATGCGACAGCTACAGCTGCTGCTGGTAGTACCACTAACGGTAACACTGCTACGACGACGACGACGACGACGACTGCCACGACTACACAAACTGATCCGACTACTACGACCACTAGGACCACGACTCCCCGACTACGACACAACGACGACTACGACTCCGACTACC